CTGAAAGTTCTCAGATAGTGACAGGCATGTGAACAGGGACGGGGTCCGGGAGAGGTGTGTGATTGAACAGCTCGTGGCCGTGCTGGGAGACCCTGGGAGACAGACTTCCTTCAGAGTCTTCCCACCCCGGCCGTGAAGGCTGAGGTGTTGATTGTCCATTGTCCCATCTGTCACTGCTGGATCACCACCAACAGAACCAACCCTCTGGTTTCCTGATGGCTGTGTACTCAGGTCAAGCAAAACCCTGCAGACAGAAAAACAGCCTCAGGAGCAAGCGGCCCTGGGCTTGGAGGGGTGACGGCTAAGGGGGAGCGGGTGGGAGACTCACTGGATCCACTGTACCCCGTGAATTGGCTGAATCAGGAGTTGAGCCGGGTGTGGTGGCACACACCTGTCATTACAGTGGTTCGGGAGGCTGAGGCCGGAGGATGGAGAGTTCAAAGGCAGCCTCAGTGGTACCCCACCCCTGGGTTAATCTCCAATACCAAATAAGTAAAATCAAATCCAGTCGGTGTTCTCTCCATCTTAAGCATGAAGACACTGAAGCTAAGAGATTAGGGTCCCAGCCACGTGGAGAAGCGAGGGGCCTCCCTGGGCAGGCGGGGAGAGGGGCTGTAGGGAACCTCCTGGGGGGACAGACTTTGCCCCAGAGTAGATGGGCACAGACTTGGGGTGAGCCCTGGTTTGGTTTCATGGCTGCTGTCCCTGGAGCAGGCTGGGAGTGACCTCTGGACGCTCTCACTTGTACCCCCTGGTGAGAGTCGGGGACAGGCGGCCCCGGGCAGATGCAGCAGGGTCTCCCACATCTCTGCCACCAGCCCCCGCGGCTGCAGAGCCCTCAGAGCTGCCCCAGGCGCCCTCCCCTCCGCCCGCCTGCGCTGGGGTCTTTCAGACGCTGTCAAAGCCCCCATTCTCTGAACACAGCTGGGCCAGCGCCGAGCCGTGCATCCCATGTCCCCAAGGCCTGGACCCAGGTGTCTGTGCGACTATGGGCAAGACCTCAGAGGAACTCAGCTGCCTGGCTCCCACCTCCTGGTGTGGGAGCGCGTAGAAAACTCTGGAAGGATGGGCTCTCCCAGCGTCCACTGTGGATGGGAGCCCAGCAAGGGCGGCCAGGGCTGACGGCTGGAGGAGGATGGGGAGGCTCTCCCCACTTGGGTCCTGGCCTGGGCCTGYGTGGGGGTGGGGTGGACGCAGGAGGTGGATTGTTCTTAACCAGAGGCTGGAAACCTCCCCGGCAGGGAGGCTGGGAGGCGGCCAGCTGGGCTGCACGTGGAGGAGGCAGGGAGAGCTGCCCACTCTCTCCCCTGCCCACCCTCTCCCCCTCGGGCTCTCTCTCCGGCTCCTTTTCTTTCCCCTGAGAAGACCGAGTTGGCAGGACCGCTGGCCCTGGAGGCAGCAGAGTTGGGCTTTTGTGCTGGTCTCAGTTAATTCCCTACTGTGTGCCCCTGAACCTTACTTCACCTTTGGGGGTCTCAGTGTCCTCGTCCCGAAGATAACTGAGATTTCTACCTGAAGTCTGACTTTTATCCTTCCTGCTTCTGTGGGTCCTGCTTGATTCCCGCAAATGCCTGCAGATTTGGAGGGGCTTTTTCTCAGAAAGCAAATAGAAATGGGGGACAGTCCTATGACTGTGCATCCAGATGAAGGGCTCTGTAAAGGCAAGGAAAGTCCCCTCTGCAGTTACCACCTCAGAGTGCAGGTTAGACATGTAGGCTTTCCCAGCTAGAGATGTTGAAAGGATCTTAAAGAGATGCTCATTGTCTTGTTGAGAAAACTTCAGGAAGACTCCATTCCCAAATGACAAGCCCCGTCTCCAKTCACAGGGGAGGGCTGTGAGCTCCTGGCCAGGAGGCCTGGCGCAGATTAGGGCTRCACACGCAGAACACTGTCTGGCAAAGGAAAAGACCCAGATCTTCAATTCACTATGGGTAAGCTCTGGACCCTTCTTGTTTGGGGTACTGGGAATTGAACCCAGGGCCTTGTGCATGCGAGGCAGGCACTTACCAACTGAGCTATATCCCCAGCCTGCCAGGTGCCCTTCAATAGATGAATGGATAAAGAAAATGTTGTATATATACACAATGGAATATTACTCAGCCATAAAGAAGAATGGCATTGTGGCATTTTCTGGTAAGTGGATGGAACTGGAGACTATCATGCTAAGTGAAATAAGCCAATCCCAAAAAACACAAAGGCCTAATATACTCTGATATGTGGATGCTAACCCACAACAGGAGGGGGAAAAATAGAAATTCACTGGATTAGACAAAGGAGAATGAAGGAAAGGGGGGGGATGGGGACAGGAAAGACAGTGGGCTGAATGGGACATCACTTTCCCATGTTCACATAGGAACACACGGCCAGTGTGACTCACATCACGTTCAACCACAGAATGGGCAGTTACACTCCATGCATGTTCAATAAGCCACAGTACATCCTACCCTCACGTGTAACTAAAAAGAACAAATAGACAATTTTGAAAAATAATGTGGGGCTGGGGCTGGGGCTCAGTGGTAGAGCACTTGCCTAGTACCTGTGAGGCACTGGGTTCGATCCTCAGCACCACATAAAAATACATAAATAACATAAAAGTTAAAAAAAATAATGCTTTATGCCAGTGCTGGTGGCCCACACCTGTAATCCCAGCAGCTGGGGAGGCTGAGGCAGGAGGATCTCGAGTTCAAAGCCAGCCTCAGCAAAAATGAGGCACTAAGCAACTCAGTGAGACCCTGTCTCTAAATAAAATACAAAATAGGGCTGGGGGTGTGGCTTGGTGGTTGAGTGCCCCTGAGTTCAATCCCCCGTACTACTACTCTACTACTACTAATAATAATAATAATACTTTTTTAAAAAGTAAAAAAAAGTATCAATATAAACATGAAAAAAGAAAAAAAAATCCAGATCTTCTCAGAGCCGGAGCCGTGGACTGGGTCACCCCTCTCCCAGTGCAGGTGAATGGTGTCCATCAGAGCGTTGTACAGGTGACAAAATGGTGTCAGAGGAGTGACACCCTTTGAGGTTTCCCACTGCGAATGGCAGGTGGAGACTCTGGCTGCAGTGCTGAGACTCCCCCTCCTCCCTGTCCCTCCCTGTCCCTCCGGTCCCTCCCTGTGCCTGCTCCCTCACCAGGAGCCCGCCTCCTGAACACACTGCCCCTGGTGCTGGCCCTGGTCAAGGTCGGACTCCCCCAGGGCAGCAGCAGTGCACCTGGACTTCTGGTCATGAGGGGGGTGGCCGGGAAGGTCACTTTCCTGGGCCTTCTCTGGTCCCAGGCAGGTCTCCCGGGGCAGGAACTGTGGTTACATCCAGCAGCCACTGGGATTGAATGTCAGCCACTTGGTGGCCTGGCTCAGGCTGGCTGGCCTGAAGCCCTGTCTGTGGAGCCCTGGTCGGGGTGAGCCCCAGCCTGTGGGGGCAGGGGACACAGGCCACCCTGTCAATACCCCCCTGAGGGCGGGGGCTCTCTTCCAGCCCTGAGTCCGGAGGTCTAGGTGAGCAAAYAGGCCCTGGAGCCACCAGGCACTGCTCAGACCTGTCCCCAGAGGGCCTCTGGGTACCACCTCTCCATCTCTTCAGCTTCTGCAGGACAGTGAGGGCCGGGCCCCGTATTCCTGGATCCTAAACAGTGCCTGGCCCACGTGGGTTCCTAGCTGGCATTTAGTTCATATTGAGTTAATATTTGTTTAATGAGGGTTGGGGATGTGGCTCAAGCGGTAGCGTGCTCGCCTGGCATGCGTGCGGCCCGGGTTCGATCCTCAGCACCACATACCAACAAAGACGTTGTGTCCGCAGAGAATTAAAAAATAAATATTAAAAAAAAATTCTCTCTCTCTCTCCTCTCTCACTCTCTCTTAAAAAAAAAAAAAATTTTGTTTAATGAAATGAACCAAGGAGGCCTCCTCCTCCCCCGGCCTCCCGAGGCACCTTGCCCTGTGCCCTTTAGTCTTGCATCTGTGCGAGCCACCTGCTGAGGGACCTGATCACTGCCACCCCAGATCTTTCTGTCCCTACAGTAGAGGGACCTCTGGGGAGTGGCTGGAATCTTCTTCCACCCCAAGCCTTTGGGAGGAGCTCTTGGGGACATCTCAAAGCCTCTGGGAACTCAGCCTGTGGCCCAGGGGTGCAGGCGCAGGCCGTGGGGTTGGGGGTGGGCTTCTGGTAGGGAGCTGTCCAGAACCCCCAGGAGGGACTTGGGGTGCAGTCCCGCGGGAGCCAGGGCCTGCGGGAGCCTCTGCCTGCGGTGGACACCCCACTGTGCTTGCAATATTTTGAGGATGTGGCTGCATTTTACGGGGATCACAAAGCTGCCCTCCTGTCCAGGAGAGGATCCAGGCACCGTCGCCCGCGGTCCGTGCCAGGGGTGTCCCTGAGTCCCAGGAGGGGGAGGGAGAGAGGAGCCGGGCAGAGGGCCTGGGAAAGCGGAGGGAAGCGTCATTGGTATTCTGGCCGCTGCGGAGCCCCGACAACTGCTGGGGCCTCAGGCCCACCCCTTGGCAGCCGCCCGCACATTGAGCAGCAGCGGCCCTGGCCAGCGGGCTCTGGGCGCCCGGCAACGCGGCGACTCTGCACATTGGTTTGCAGGACCAGCGGCACCGGYTCAGAGTGCCCCGGGCACCCCCTCGGCAGGAGGTTTCTTGACTCGCTTTGCTTCACCCGTGATTCTGCTGTCTAACCTCCATCCCCCCAGCTGCAAAGTCAGCTCCTCCTCTGGGCAGGCAGTGGGAGCACCGCGGGCGTCAGAACCCAATCGGAACATCCCCCAGGGAGGCGGCCGCGGTCATCTGCACCTCATCCTTGTCTCCAAAAGACAGCTTCCCATTTTGGGGGTGGGAGGCGGGGTATCGCTCCTTCCAGGATCCTTCATCCTTTTCCCTACTAAGTTTGAGTCCCTCCTCTTCCCTCTTTGACCAATGGGAAGTCCCTCCAGTTGTCTAACTTCCCTCCAGCTACAACATCATCTTCTGGCGCTCCCTCCCCGCCCCTTCTGCCCTCCCTTCCTACTCCAAGTCCTCATCGWATCCCCGGAACGATGTCCTACTTCGCTTGTCCTTGCCCTCTCCGCTGCCGCCGGGAACCGACGCAGAGAAGGCAGCGGGTCCCGTGACCACCCCGAGCCCCTCTCGTTCCGGGACAGGGGGCGGGGGGTGGCCCCAGGGAAGGGCGGGGCGGGTGGGGGGTGAAGAAAGGGGGTTTTGTGCGGCGCCCGGCGGGCCGGCGCCCTCTTCCGCGCGTCCTGCAGGCCCGGCCTCCCCTCGCGCCCGCGCAGTGCCCGCCGCAGTCGCACCGGCTGCAGGACCGGCCGTGGGTCCCGGAGCCCCAGGAGGAGGCGGCGAGCTGGACAGTGCCGCCCGCACCCGGCCCCGGGAAGGTGAGTGCCGCCGCAGCCTGGCCGCCGGGCGTGGGAGGGCGAGGCGAGGGGCGCCCCCCGGCCTCCGGCCTCGCACCCGGAGCCCCCGCCTCGGAGGCCGCGGCTCGCAGACCCGGGCGCCCGGGGGGGGGGGGGGGGGGCGGGGGAGCGGTCCCGGCGCCGGCTCCTGCTGCCACCGGAGCCCTGAGCGGTGCCTGGGCGCGCGCACTGCACACTGCGCACCCGCGCACCCGCGCACCTGCACACACCCGCGCACACCCGCGCACACCCGCGCACTCGGCTGCTCGCGGTCCGGCTGCAGCCCGGGTCCTGTCAACGGGAGCGCCCCCCTATCCTGCTGCCCGATGCGCGCCCCTCCAGGCGGGGAGGACTTCGACCTGGCCCTGGGCGACGCAGGAGCGGTGGGTCCCCGGGAGGAACCGCGGGCAGCAGCGGCCGCCTTCTGGGAACCTCCCCAGGGCGCGCAGCACAGGGTGGTGGCGGCGCCCACTCTGGAGCGGGACTCCCAGCTCCGCCACTTACTTTGCTGTGTGACCTTGGGCAAGTTGGGCGACCTCCTTGAACCTTGGGCTCCTTCTTACTTGAAGGAAGCACAAAGAGGTTATCCATGGAGGCCCTTGGAGGGGGCCTGGTTCCTGTGGACCCCGGGAACTGTTGGCTGGGACTGGGATTCCTTGTCCTCCCTTCTTAACCCCCCCCCCCCCGCTGGAGGCTTCCTGCCCCAGGTATTCCCACACCCTCCTCCAATCCCATTAACRTCAGGATTCTAGCAGGACCAGCAAGGGACGGATGTTGATTTTGTTGGCACCGGGATCTGCATCACATAGATGGCAGTTGATACCAGTCGGGTCCAGAAACCGTGTTCCCTAGTCCCAGAGGCTGGGGAGGCTGAGGCAGGAGGATGGAGAGTTCAAAGCCAGCCTCTGCAACTCAGAGAGGTTCTAAGCAACTCAGCCAGATCTTGGCTGGGGAGGTGGCTCAGTGGTCATGCATTCCTGGGTTCAATCCCTGGTGAACCGTGTTCCCAATAGGTCCTCCCACAGGGTCCCAGCGCCTGGGTGGTTACAGCTGATTTTGCCTCTGAGGACGTGTCCCCCACATCTCAGACTTCGTGTCCCCCACATCTCAGACTTCACAGGGTCTGCAACAGCTCAGCTGGGGATGTTGCTCACACTATTATTAGTTGTTCTTGCAATAAATAGGGCCATTTACAGGATCGTGCCCCCGGGCCTCACTGGTATTGTGTATGTACAAGTTGTTCCTCAGACAGTCACYAAGGCGTGACCCAGAGCTTCCCTCCTGCTGAGGTGGAGGTCTGGCCTCWGTGCCTCCCTACTGACCCTGCTGGCTGGGTGCTGGCTGGGGCTCAGGTCCTCTGGAGCAGACCTTGGACTGCCACCCAGTGGGCACTCAGCATGCAGGTGGTGGGTGTCCCGCGTGCCCACACGCTCAAGTTGGCACGTGTGCAGMGGCTCCTGATTCCCTGTGGACCGGGTCTGGGCAGGAGGTGGACGTCCATGGTCAACAGCAATGACCTGTAACAGGAGGAAAGTTCCTGAACAGCTTGGGACATAAGACAAGGGCAGAGACTCAGGCTGGAGCGGAGAGGGTGGTGTGGGCAGGGGATCCGGGTGTCCAAATCTAGGGCTCCCGTGTGACTCTGGGGAGAGGAGAGATGGCGCTCTCCAAGAACTGGACCCTCTGGTTTGGGACTCCCACTCTTAGAGATGGGGTGGGTTGGCCTCCAGGTCTCCATGGTCCTCCCTGACCTCAGAGCCTCTTCCCTCGTCCTCCTGTAGGGCAGAGGCGGGAGGGTGGCCCGGGTCCTGGCCCCAGCTCYGCTTCCACCAGAGAGAGGGGCCCAGCCAGCTCAGATGCATGGCACACGGTCTCCTGGCACCAGTGAGCCCTGCCGCTCACGCCAAAAGGTCCCCCTTCCAGCCCAGGGTCCCCAGCCCGGAGCTGGCCTCAGCACCCCCTGCTTGGTCCTGTCAGCAACCTCCTCCGGTCAGAGGCCCTGAGCCTCCTGCCTCTCCTCCCTGAGTATGACCAGCTCAGAGGTTGAAGTGGAGGAGAGGCAGGAGAGCCTAGGAGAGGATCCAGGAGGAGAGGACAATTTCCCATCAGTTCAGGCTCAGGAGGGAGAGGACATGTATGAAGGCAGACCCTGAAAGGGCAGGGAAGATGGAGGTTAAACATTCAGTGTACCAGGAGCGGCCGTGAGTAGCCAGTAAGAATAAGCCTGATCTCTAGGAGTCCTGCCTACAGTCTAACCTTCATCCCTCCTGCTGCGTCATCAGCTTCTTCCATGGCCAACTCGGGTCCCCATATTCTTCTAAGTCTAGCTGACCTTTAAAGCTGATGTTGGACACTAGCTCTCCAGCCTTCCCTCCTGGGGGCACGTTGGCATGTGCCCGACTTGTCTTTGCTGGGGACCTAGGGGCAGCTCTGTCCCTTTCTGGGCATCAGTCTCGGTTTCCCCGTGTCCCACTCCACCTCTCAGAAGATTTGAGATATTTAGAAGATGATTCTGAGTTCCGGAGCGTCTGACCACCAGGGGTAGGAAGGGGTGCTCGCTCCCTCTTATTCTCACCCCCCTTAGCCTACCCCCAGCCTGGGGCCTTCACAAAAGGTGGGGTGGGGGAGGAGAGGCTGGATGGGGTCCAGACCGGCAGAGACGGGGGCTTTGTCCCAGCTGGGTTGTGAGCCGGGAGATCCGGTGGGAAAGCCCGCGCCAGGCAGAAAGGAATAGCTGGGAGGAAGAGGGAGGGCGGTGGGGAAGGGGGGTCCGAGGGTGACGGGCCTGCAGAGCAGAGGCAGGGGACAGGGGGCTGGCTGGACACGGTGGCCCACGCCTGGAATCCCAGGAGCTCAGGAGGCTGAGGCAGGAGGATCGAAAATTCGAGGCCAACCTGGGCCACTTAGCAAGACCCTCAACCACTTAGCTCCATGGTGGAGTGCCCTGGATTCAATCCCCTGCACAAAAACCAAAAGGAAACCCCCACACAGAGGAAGAGGAGGAGCTGGGCTGGGGAGGATTTGTGCAKTGCCCAGGTTCCGGCCAGGAGGCCTTCCTGGAGGAGGCCAGGTGGGTATGGTCCCCAGGGAGGAAGGAATGGGCAGGAAAGGTTGGAGGGGTCCTAGGGGAAGAGGAGGCTCTGGTTCAAGGAAGGCATGTGGCACCGGGAGGGCAGGTGGAGTTCTAAGTACTATTGCCAGAATGGGGGGGGCATTGGTTCTAGGAGCCCCTGCCCCCCCACGAATACCAAACTCTGCAGAGGCTCAGGTCCCTTATATAAAGTGGCCTACTATGTGCCTATGACCTGTGCACAACCTCTTGTGATTCTAAGTCATCTCCGGACTTCTTACACTTCCCAGTTCAACAGAAACCCTTATTATTACACTGCGCTGCTCGGGAGCTAATGACAAGAAGATCTGTACGCGTTCAGTGCAGACAGGTTTTCCTGAATATTTTGATCTGCAGAATGCACAGATATGGAACCCACGGATAGGGAAGGCCAACTGTTATAAGCATTTACTAATGTTATAAGCATTTACTAATCTCCTACTGTGTGCCTCATGCTGTGCATTGATACAGGGGTTCTTTTATGTTCTTGGTACTGGGGATTGAGCCCAGGGGCACTTAACCACTGAGCCACATCCTCAGCCATTTTTATAGTTTTTATTTAGAGACAATGTCTCACTGAGTTGCTCAGGGCCTCGCTAAGTTGCTGAGGCTGGCTTACAACTCATGATCCTCCTGTCTCAGCCTCCTGAGTGGCTGGGATTACAAGCATGTGCCACCTGTTTTTGTTGGGGGGGGTGCAGATACCAGGGATAGAACCCAGGGGTGCTTAACCACTGAGCCACATTCCCAGCCCCTTTTTTTAAAATATATTTTTTGATGTTGATGGACCTTTATTTTATTCATATATTTATATGCGATGCTAAGAATGGAACCCTGTGTCTCACACATGCCGGGCAAGTGTTCCACCACTGAGCCACAACCCGGGCCCTCCAGCCCCTTTTTATTTATTATTTTGAGACAGGGCCTCTCTAAATTGCTGAGGCTGGCTTTGAACTTGTGGTCTTCCCGCCCGGGCTTCCCAAGTGGCTGGGATTCTAGGCCTGCACCACCGGGCCGACAATGCTGGTTGTTTAATGTAAAGCTCTCACAAAGCCCAAGGCTCAGTGCAGCTTATGAAGTGGGAGTTAATAATGCTGTTTTCACAGTAAGAAAAAAAGCCCAGAGAGAGCAAGGAACCTGGCCCAGGTCACACAGTGTTGACTAGGAGGAAGACCTTGGCTCTGAGGAGGAATCCCTTGGCAAGGGGACAGGGACCAGACACAGAGTTGATGGTGCCGCAGACGCTGTCTACCTCCGGAGCTGGGTGTGGCAGTCAGTCAGGGGAAGTCCATCCTGAAGTCTAACTCCATCTTTCCTCCTCTAGTATCTTCACCAGCCTGCAGCATGGCCTCACTCCTGGCAGGCCTGCTGACAGCCCTGGCCCTGACCCAGGTCCCTGCAGCCCTCGCTGATGTCCTGGAAGGGGACAGCTCAGGTGAGCATCCCTGCTCAGGGTCCTTTCCCTCTGTCCCTTGCGGTAGAGGCTGGTTTCTTTTCAACCCTAACAATTGCTTCCAGCCTTGGGGGGCGTTGGGAGGAGGTCAAATAGGGGGCCTGCGGAGAGGGTGCGGGTCCCACGGTAGGCAGGGGTGTCTTGGTTGGTGGCAGGGCTAGGAAGCAGCACGAGGGCGAGGCTGAGGGCCTCTGAGTGGAGGACAGAGGGGGAGGCTAGGGCAGATGAGTGGATCTGGAGGCAGAAAGGAGCGGAATTGGAGTTAACCCTGAAGGGGAGAGGCCGGGGAGTCTGGGAGTCTGAAGGCCCTGGGCGTCCTGGTTGGAGGACCTTGGGGTGCAGAGTGAGGACCCTGGGGTGGCATCGGGGGACCCTAGGGGACGGTCCTGGAGGGCCTAAAGTCAGGGCAGCAGGACCCGGTCCAGCCGGCCGGGGTGCTGGGTGGAAGAGGGACTGCAGGTGGTGGAGTGGCGACTGCGCGGTGGCCGAGGGTCCAGTCCAGCTCCGTGTCCCTCCCGCCCACAGAGGACCGCGCCTTCCGCGTGCGCATCGCGGGCACCGCGCCGCTGCGGGGGGTGCTGGGCGGCGACCTCACCATCCCCTGCCACGTCCACTACCTGCGGCCGCCAAGCCGCAGGGCGGCGCCGGGGTCCCCGAGGGTCAAGTGGACCTTCCTGTCCGGGGGCCGCGAGGCGGAGGTGCTGGTGGCGCGGGGGCTGCGCGTCAAGGTGAGCGAGGCCTACCGGTTCCGCGTGGCGCTGCCCGCCTACCCCGCGTCGCTCACCGACGTGTCCCTGGTGCTGAGCGAGCTGCGGCCCAACGACTCGGGCATCTACCGCTGCGAGGTCCAGCACGGCATCGACGACAGCAGCGACGCCGTAGAGGTCAAGGTCAAAGGTAAGAGTGCGCCGCCCAGAGGATCCGGGAAGAGGGAGGCAAAGACTCCTGCTCTGGGGAGCCCGCAGTCTGAGTTGGAAAAGGGGCCACAGTCTAACTTGTCTCTCATGCTGTAGAGTGAGAGCAATTTGGATTTTACCCCTGGTGCACAAGGAGGCTGGGGGATGGGGATCAGCGCACTGGGTGATCACCTGGCTCAGGTCCTCTCTGCCCTCAGGGGTCGTCTTCCTCTACCGGGAGGGCTCTGCCCGCTATGCTTTCTCCTTTGCCGTGGCCCAGGAAGCCTGTGCCCGAATTGGAGCCCGCATCGCCACCCCGGAGCAGCTCTACGCCGCCTACCTGGGGGGCTACGAGCAGTGTGACGCTGGCTGGCTGTCGGACCAGACCGTGAGGTGCGCGAGGGGCTGTGACCCAGGCCGTGGCCTCCGGTTCTGCATGAGGCTGGAGGCACCAGGCTCCTGGCCTCTGGGGAAGGAGGCTGGTCGAGGAGGACGGGAGAGGACCTGCTTCCCTGCAGAGCTGGGCTGGCAGCCCTGCGCTGAGAGGGCCAGGGTTGAGCAGGGCGCATGGAGGCTGGCCCCCGGGCAGAGGCACCTGCTCACCCTCTGCCCTCCCGTCCCAGGTACCCCATCCAGACCCCCCGCGAGGCCTGCTACGGAGACATGGACGGCTTCCCGGGGGTCCGGAACTACGGGGTGGTGGACCCGGAGGACCTCTACGACGTCTACTGTTACGCTGAAGACCTGAACGGTGATTGGAACTGAGGGCTCCCGGGGACAAGTCCCTTCTCCAGCACCGCCCATAGGTCCTCCTGCCGCCTCACAGGGCCTTATTGTCCCTCATGCATTTCCCGAGGCAGGGAGGCAGGCGGGGGGGGGGGCGGGGTAAGGAGACATCAGTGTCCCTCTCTGTAAACTGTCATCATAGATCTCCGCCCATGACGGTCTGCAGAACGAGGAAGTGGGGCCAGGTTCCCCTGAGCCCTCATATCCATCGTGAGGTTGGGGGGACAGCTGACCACACACCAGGGGACAGAAGCCCGGAGAAGCTTGCTCAGGGTCCCGTGAGTGTCCAGGGTAGAAGTGTCCACTGACCGCCGGTGACCCGGCCTCCTCTTCTCCCCAGGAGAACTCTTCCTGGGTGCCCCTCCAGACAAGCTGACGCTGGAGGAGGCGCGGGCCTACTGCCGGGAGCGGGGCGCCGAGATCGCCACCACGGGCCAGCTCTACGCGGCCTGGGATGGTGGCCTGGACCGCTGCAGCCCGGGCTGGCTGGCCGACGGCAGTGTGCGCTACCCCATCGTCACACCCAGCCAGCGCTGTGGCGGGGGCCTGCCCGGCGTCAAGACCCTCTTCCTCTTCCCCAACCAGACCGGCTTCCCCAACCAGCACAGCCGCTTCAACGTCTACTGCTTCCGAGGTGAGCCCCTGCCCAGAGGGGGGCCGCCCTCAGGGACCAGGGCCAGCCTGGAAGTCCGGCCCCAGCTTCAGCCAAAGCCCTTCTCCTGGGTCCTTGGCCTGGTCCCCAGTTTCTCAGCCAGGACTCGAGTTCCTGGGCTGCCCCTGGGGTGGTCTCACTCCACTCCGTGGCCCCAGGGAGTGGTCACCGTTGGCCTTCCCAACACTAGTCCAGGCCTGTCTCCTCCAGTTTCACATCGGCCTCTCGTTTCCTGTCTGCTTATTGGCAGAGCAGAAATGACTGACAGCCTYTGCGTCCAATGAAAACCATCTGCTCCTGTTCTTCCTGCTAACCCCAGGCCTCCAGAAGGGTTCTAGAACTAGAACGCAGCTTAGAGGTGTCAGATCTGCAGCCACCAGACAGTGATGGGCGGAGGATCCCCGCCCCCACAGGAAGCAGGACCTCAAGGACAGTTGGGCACAGTTATGAGGCCAGAACCTCTCTCCAGGAAGAAGCAGGAGGAGGAGATGGAGGAGGAGGAGCAGGGAGGAAGGGAGGAAGACTACAGGTGGAGCACAGGCCCCAGAGACCAGGTTTCCTGGTCCCGTGGAGCCAGGCTCACTGGGGCAGGTGACGAGGACAGGGACGCACTGTCTCTTTTCCACCTGGCTGGACACAGACCAGCCCTCAGGACTTTTCTTGGCCCTTTGCTTCCTTGGTTTTCTGCTCTCAGTCCCCTTCCCAGAGGATGAGGTGATCCGTCCCAAACCTCTGGATACTTGAAAACAGCAGGTGCCCCTAGGACATGGCCCCTTCCTTTGCCCTCTTGTGTCAACACTCAGATCCTCAGGTAGAGACTGTCAAGTGTTTCTCCGGTACCAGGGGGTTGGAGCCTGTCCCCATCCATTTCAAATATCCCACCAGGCGTAGTGGGTCATGCCTGTAATCCCAGCAGCTCTGGAGGCTGAGGCAGGAGGGTCTCAAGTTTAAGGCCAGCCTTTGAAACTTAGCAAGGCTCTAAGCAGCTTAGTGAGACTCTGTCTCAAATTAAAAAAAAAAAAAATAGAAAGGGCTGGGGATGTGGCTCAGTGGCAAAGCACCTGAGATTAAATCCCCAGTACAAAAAAAAAAATTAAGATGACTGGCACCTTAATCCAAGACCAGGGTCTCAAGGTGCTGAGACCCTCCCATCCATTCTTCCACCTCCAACCCCTTACTCAAGGGATCAGCTCTCACCTGGGTCTTTCTGGCACACAACTTCCCATCACTGTCTTCTAGTCCCGCTCAATTGTCCTTTATATGGTTTCATTATAACTGTGCGTATCTGTTTTTTGCCTGGATCTAGAGTATAAATCCCCTCGAGGGCAGGAAGCTTGCTATTTGACTCTGCACTGTGTCCTCCATGCCCAGGAGAAGGCTTAGCATGACACCCTTGATGAACACTTGGGGAATTGGTGACCATGTTGTGGGTGCTGCCCCTGGGACCCTCCATGGAGAGTTTTGGAGAGAGCTGAGACAATCCCGGGGTGTCAGACAGGCTAACCCAGAGCCCTTGCCTGCAGACCACGACCCTGGGGGGCCCAGGGTCTGTTCAGTCATCCATTGGACTTTTCCTCCTGCCAGACGCTGCCCAGCCCTCTGCCACGCCCGAGGTCTCCCTCCCAGCCTCTGATGGACTAGAGGCCATCGTCACAGTGACAGAGACCCTGGAGGAACTGCAGTTGCCTCCGGAGGCGGTGGAGAGTGAGTCCCGTGGAGCCATCTACTCCATTCCCGTCATGGAGGATGGAGGAGGCGGAAGCTCCACTCCAGAGGACCCGGCTGAGGCCCCCAGGACCCTCCTAGGTAACTCAATCGTCCCCTAACCCTGGGGAGACGTTGCCACCTCCGAGAGGCTGAGGGCAGAGGGTCACAGCCCAGGTAGATGCTGGGGGCGCGGCTGCCATGAGTTGGGCCTGTCCTTTCTGGGCTTAGTGGTGCGTGGCCTCTCCCCTGTCCCTGCCCTGTCCCTCTCCTGAATGTTGCTTTTCTGCTCAACTCCACCCCCGACTCTCTGGGGCTAGAGATGCCTGGACTCCTTAGTCCTGGGAAAGAGAGTTGTCCCTTCGTTGGCCCCTCCTGGCCTTTCCTACCCGAAACAGAGGATTGACAGACTAGAAGAGGGGGACACAACCGCCCTGTTTTCCTGAGCTCTTGACAGCTCGCAGCCCTTCTTAAATATGGCTCCAACAGCCGGGTACGCGGTGCGCACCTGTGATCCCAGCGACTCAGGAGGCTGAGGCAGGAGGATGGCAAGTTCAAAACCAGCCTCAGCAACTTAGTGAGGCCCTAAGCAACTCAATGAGACCCTGTCACTGAATGAAATGGAAAACAGGGCTGGGATGTGGCCCAGGGGGTTAATCCCAGGGACCAAAAACCAAGCAAACAAAAACGCCCCAACAGTGGGGCTCAGGTTGCAGTCCCCCTGTGTGGAACACAGACCAGCCCTCCCAGGCCAGGCTCTCCCCCACCCGCTTTCCCCAGCCCCCCCCCTTTTTCCCTCCCGTCCTTCCTCCCACAAGACTGTGGGGTGCTGTCCCTGGTGCTGAACTCTGTTCTCTGCCCAGAATTTGAAACCCAATCCGTTGTACCGCCCACCGGGTCCTCTGACGAGGACCCGATGTTGGAGGAAGAAGAGAGATACGAGGACGAAGAAGAGGCAGAGGAGCAGGAGGAAGAGGAGGCGGCGGAGGACGAGGACCTATGGGCATGGCCCAGCGAGTTCAGCAGCCCTGTCCCCACGGAGCCGGAAGCGGAGGACTCGCCGTCCCAGGCCTCCCCGCCAGCAAGGGCAGTCCTGCAGCCCGGAGCGTCCCCACCTCCCGAGGGACAGTCAGGAACTCCCAGGCCTCCCAGGGTCCGTGGACCACCTACCGAGACTCTGCCCACTCCCAGGGAGGGGACCCTGGCGTCCCCACCATCTTCCACTCTGGTTGGGGAGGAAATCGAGGGTCCTGAGCTTTCTGAGGTCCCTCGAGGAGAGAGCGAAGAGACAGGGAGCTCCGAGGATGCCACCTCCCTGCCTCCAGCCACACAGGCCCCCGAGGGGACCGGAGAGCTGGAAGCCCCCTCTGAAGAGGACTCTGGGAGAACCATCCCCGCAGGGACCTCGGTGCAGGCCCAGCCGGTGCTGCCCACTGACAGCGCCAGCCGCGGCGGAGTGGCCGTGGCCCCCTCATCAGGTAACTCTGCCCAGGGCTCCAGCTTCCTTGTGATCCTCCCTTTCCCCCTCCTGCAGCTCGGGATCACCCGGCCCAGGGTCCTTTAATCCCCCTTGTCCCCGACTCTCCTCATCCTCTTCCCTGTGGGTCTCCCATCTCGGCACCCCACCCGGTGACTTCCACCCCAGTTCTCTGAGTCCTCACCCTGTGACCCCAGCCCCACTGCTGACCACCCGTGACCCTTCTGTCCTCGGGAACTCTACTTGTGACTCACATCTCACTGACCCCGCAGTACCTCCTCATGCCTCTTCAGGATGCCCTGGTCACCCATGGCATCCTTTGGGGTCAGCCCTGTCTTCCTCTGCTCCCTCCCGACCCCTTTCCCGTGCTGTCCCCTTTGGACACCTCCCACTGATCTCAGGGAAGCCTGGGAGTCCATCCCTGCCCTTCGCCCTCTGGGGTCCAGGAGAGCCCTCCCCCTACAGAGCCTTAAGCGACTACTTCTGTGAAGTATTTTTTTTTCCGACTGTTTCATGGAAAACAAGCCTTGGAAATAAATCTCTATTAAACTGCTTTGTAACCAAACTGTGGCCCCCTGTCTCCCTCTGAAGCTGCCCACCCTTCTCACCCCATGCTTCTGTGTCGGGAGCTTCTCTTTGGCTCCGTGTCATGGCCTCTCTGTGTCTCCTGGTCTCTTCTTCCGGCTCCAGGCTTTCCTGTCCTCATGGTCTAACCGCCCCTTGCTGCCCCCCCCAACTCCTCCTCACACCTGTCTACACTCCCCCTCTTGACCGCTGACATCCCAGATTTGACTGTACGCATTGCCCCAGAGAAGTGGTCAGCTGTCCATCTGCAGGGGGACTGAGAGCTGTGGTCCCTCACTCCTGACGGGGAGGGACCCCACAGCCTGGGGCCGTGCGTTGAGCATTTCTGTTCATTTTTGGTCCACTCGGGTGGCTCCTGTCGAGAGTATTGATCGAGAAACCATAGGGCCAGCTCCTTGGCCTTCAGGTGCCCTGGCCCCTCATCCCCACCCCCACATCTCAGCAGGAGACACTGTCTAACTCCAGCTGCTGCCCTCACCTCCCCTCCACTAACCCCTGCACTAATCACCACCCCTGCCCCCAGGAAGAATGGTTTCCCCTCCCCGAACCCAAAGGATCTCAGAGTCTCCCCTTCTGGAGAAGATGCTAGAGGAGCAATGTGGAGGGAGAAGGAGCGAGAAGTTAGGTTCGGGGATCTGGGAGAAGCCCACCTGCTCACAGAAGGTTCAGATCCCAGTGCAGGCTCGTGGAGAAGGCTGGGCCAGAACCGGGCCCCCCTCCTAGAAGGTCCAGGGTGGGCTCAGGACCCCAGCATCAAGCCAGGCTCACCCATTTCAACTGTGGGCTTTCTGCTCAGCTGGCCCTGGAGTTGGGCCCTCTGCAGGGTAAGGAAAGGGTTTGGTGGGAAAAGACCACTGGGGGGGTTACCCCAGCTAGAGGGGGGGAAGTGGTCCCCAGACCTGCTATTGCAACAAGAGGAAAGGCAAAGCTTTCAGGCGTATACTGTAGCTGGCCTCAAAGAGGGGGAGGGAGGAAGGAGAGAAAGCCCCAGGACACGTCCTTTCACCCTAGTGTGTACCCTGGGCTCAGGTCCTGCAGTCACAGCCAGGGCTAGGAACTGTGGCCTGTGGGGCAGGACCAGAGACGGTCCTGTTCCCCAGCTTGGAAGGCTGGACGGGAAGCCCAGAGAGCAGGAGCAGCGGGAAAGTGTGAGGCACAGCGGGTGGCCAGGATGCCTCTCTGTTGGGTCTGGCACTTAATGGATGAAATGAAACACCTGTGGGGGAGGGGCGGCGTGACCAGCTGGGCAGCAACTACTGGCAGGAGGGGAGACCAGGGAGGGAGAGGCGCTAGAAAAGCTGATTCATTTTTACCCCAAACGGCAAGGTCATCCCAGTGTAATTCTTTGAATCAACTCCAGCTTCTCCCCAGTCCCTGCTCCGAACCCCACCAGGCAGTGGACACCGCAGGCCGGTCAGTGTGAAGCACTGTGGGCCTGGGCTTCAATGTGGTTTCCTCCTGTCATGGATGCAAGCACTGGTGGTCTGTGGAACCATCGTCCCCTGGGTCCTGTGAGGAAAGGAGTAGAAACTGACAGTAGCCAGCACCCGGACTGGACCCAAGAGCAGCCCCCTTGCACCCCAGGATCTAGAGAGTTAGAGAAGGCAGGTGACTTGGCCAAGTGGAGCCAGATCCCCACACCAAACCGGAAGCCTTCAGGGCAGCATGTTGGCCTGAGAGGACTGTCTGGAAGAGGGGGGGCCGAAAAGGGGGCGAGATGGGTCAGGCTAGAGACTCTACAGGAGGCCCCAAGTGGAGGCTGGTAAGGGGGAAAGTCTGGGTGAGACAAGAGGGGGGGCAAAGAGGTTGCCTAGTCCCACCCCTTTCAGTGGGCAGCCTTAGCCCCTCTGGGTTTTGGGGTCCTCTGGCCCAAGATGCCTGCTGCGATGGTGCCGGTGGTGAGGACAGAGAGTGGGCTGGAAGGTTCTGCCCAGTGGACATCAGGAAGAATGGTCAGCAGTCGCCTGGACCACACCCATATCAGGTGCCAGGGACAGTCCAGGGAGGCCACACCCACTGCTGCTGGTGGTCTCTACAGTCCCACCCAGTGGCCCACCTAGACTATACAGAAGTCTGCTGGGGCCTGGCACAAAGATAAAGGGCCTAGAGAGGGGAAGTGACCTGCCCAGTGTCGCACAACTGACAGCCCAAGATCTTCCCCGATAGTGACTCTGGAGCCTTCCTGGCCGCTTCCCCTCGGGCCCTCGTGGACTGGGCCCACAGAGGTGGGCATGACAGTGGCCTGCACAGGCTGAGCCAGTGATGAGCTCAAGGAAGGGCAGGAGGAAAGGGGAGGAAGAGCCCCAGGATTCAGAGCTGGGCTGTGGCCAGAGGCTGGCTCCAGGGACCACGTTCAACTCCCAAGGCAGGAAGGTCAAGATTGGGGGACCCCCTGGACCCTCCCCTACAGGGCTCAGACTGCATGGGTGTGCTCCCCTGCTCCCCCACCTCACTTCTTTCCCCCTCTCAGGTGACTGTGTCCCCAGCCCCTGCCACAATGGTGGGACATGCTTGGAGGAGGAGGAGGGGGTCCGCTGCCTGTGTTTGCCTGGCTATGGGGGGGACCTGTGCGATGTTGGTGAGTGTGTTGAGGGGGGCGGGGAGGGCATACCTGAAGCCTGGACCCTGCCCCAATATGCTAGTGCTGAAGGGCAGAGGGAGGGCACGAGTTTGGGCCATGAGTCCCCGCTTTAGGCCTGGGGACACAACTTTTCTGAGCCCTGTTCTTCATTTGTCGCTCTTGGAGGCACACTGCTGGCCTTCTGTACACGCCACCTGCCCTCCTCCTTGGAAGGGAGGACAGCCGAATTCTCTAGGATGGAGCATTGCAGACACTCATGGTCCCTGTCTCTTTCTGAAGACACCGATACCCCTGCCCAGGACCCCCTCATTCCCAGCCAGCTTCTTGGCACCGCCCTCCTGTCCCTSGGTCCCGCCCCTCGCGGTCTGCGGCGCGGGGAGAAGGCGCGTCCCTCGCCTGCAGATCTGACCTCGCTGCGTTCTGGGTCCTCCGGCCTAAGATGTCTGTCCCTCTGTGCCCCAGGCCTCCGCTTCTGCAGCCCGGGCTGGGACGCCTTCCAAGGCGCCTGCTACAGGCACTTCTCCACGCGAAGGAGCTGGGAGGAGGCGGAGACCCAGTGCCGGATGTACGGCGCGCACCTGGCCAGCATCAGCACGCCCGAGGAGCAGGACTTCATCAACAGTGGGCTGGGGCCGGGCGGGAGGGGACCTTCGCCATCGCCTCGCACACACTCGAGATTGACACCCTCATCACTTGGCTGCCTTCATTCAGCCAGTGTTCCTTCACGGTTTCCTTCTCTCTCCTTCCCTCTCTACGCGTAGGCAGGGGGCTTTAGGGAGGGGAAGGCTGGGGTTCCACCGGAACTTACGGCGGTATCAGCCCCCACCCCGCTCTCTGCCCCCACTCTGGCCCTCGTGCCGGGTTTGGAGGGATCAAAAAAGAAAACAGCCATAGGCCAGGCTCGGTGGCCCACGCCTGTAATCTTAGCTACTTAGGAGGCTGAGGCAGGAGGATCGCCGATTCGAGGTCAGCCTCAGCAATTTACAGAGACCTTGTCCCAAAATGAAAAATTAAAAGAGCTGGTGTTGTAGTTCACGGGTACATGAGAGTGCCCTTGGGTTCAATCCCCCACGAAAGAGACAAAAAAGAAAATAGCGAGGGCCTGGGGATGCAGCTCGGTGGTAGAGAGGTTGCGCAGGACGCGAGTTCCTTAGCGCCGGGTACAAAACAAAAAGCCAAACCCGGGGAGGGCGTGGGTTTCGGATTTCTGCGAGGACTCCCCGCAGGCCACCCGGTAACAGGGAATCTGCGCCATCTGCTGGCAGTGCCGCTCACCGCACGCCCCGTCTCCGGCGGCTCTTCCCCAGATCGATACCGGGAGTACCAGTGGATCGGGCTCAATGACAGGACCATTGAAGGCGACTTCCTGTGGTCGGACGGCGTCCCTCTGGTGAGAGGCCTCAGCTGGCCCTCACTCCCTCTGGTTCATTCCTCGAAGCACGCCTGGCCTCCGCCAGCAGTCACCCACCTCCGCCCCTTCCTTTGCTGATGGCCTTTCCCTACCCAGGCCCCCTCCCTCTTCTCCCGGGCCCGCCTCCCCTCCTTAGGTCCCTCTCTCCTCTCTCTGGCTCCCCTTCTCCCTCTCCCAAAGCCCCTTATTCCCTCTTCGGGTGTCTCCAACCCCCAGGCCCTTAGCCTTCCCTCCCCTGAGGTCCCTCCCAACCCTCCCCAGTCCTCTACCCCTCCCCCACCCCGTGCTCACGGTGCGGTGGCTCTTCCCACCTGCGTCCCCCCAGCTCTACGAGAACTGGAACCCTGGACAGCCTGACAGCTACTTCCTGTCTGGAGAAAACTGCGTGGTCATGGTGTGGCACGATGAGGGACAATGGAGTGATGTGCCCTGCAACTATCACCTGTCTTACACCTGCAAGATGGGCCTGGGTGAGGATGGGCAAGGGAGGGTCCAAGCCCTGCAGGAGGGGTGGCCTTTCTTTTCCCAGGGGGTCCCAAGGATTGCTTACGGAAGGAGGGTACAAAGCTACCCAGAGGAGGCTGACCATGTGGTGGATAATGAATTACAGAAGTCCACTCGCAATCCCCAGGGGGAGCTGGGTGCGGTGGCATGCACACCTGTAATCCCAGCGCTGGGGAGGCTGAGGCAGGAGGATCTCGAGTTCAAAGCCAGCCTCAGCAATTTATCGAGGTGCTGAGCAACTCAGCGAGACCCTGTCTCTTAATAAAATATTTTTTTTGAAAGGGCTGGGATGTGGCTCAGAGGTTAAGCCCCCTGGGTTCAATCCCGGGTACCAAAAAAAAAAAAAATCATCCCTGGTGGTAATGCTGTGGCCACTCATTTCCTCTCCCTATCAGGATTCTGGGAACCCTCCTGACAGAGCAAGTTTCCTAACGCCTAACTGTGCTCCCCATGCAGTGTCCTGTGGGCCCCCTCCGGAGCTGCCTCTGGCTCAAGTGTTCGGCCGCCCACGGCTGCGCTACGAAGTGGACACGGTGCTGCGCTATCGGTGCCGCGAGGGGCTGGCTCAGCGCAACCTGCCACTGATTCGCTGCCAGGAGAATGGTCGCTGGGAGCCCCCTCAGATCTCCTGCGTGCCCCGCAGGCCTGTGAGTGCCAGGAGGCTGGTGGGGGACATGGCCAACAGAAGCCCTGGGCTCCAATCCCAGCTCTGCGCGGCGGTCAGCTGGCTGTGTAAACTGGAGTGACACCTGGGTGATCAGTGGTAGAGGGAAGTGGCTGAATGCCCTGGAGGGGTCGTGCCTGAGCACAAGCAGCCACTCTGTGCTCCTAAGGGGTGAATGGGGCAAGTATTGGTGAGGTCAGGGCCCAGGAGCAGGAACACCACACCCAGGGTGGGCTGGGAAGGAAGAGGAGCCCAGGTGGAGGCTGAGTGTGTGTGTGTGTGTGTGTGTGTGTGTGTGTGTGTCCCCAGGCCCGGGCTCTGCATGCCGTGAAGATCCCAGAAGGACATCCAGGGAGCCTGCCAGGACGCTGGAAGGCACCGTGGACCTTCCCTGCCGGCCCTCCTCCCGGTCCCCAAGTGGGAAAGCCTTGAATGCTGCTGTCCCCAGCACTGCCCTCGGGCCTCCAAGGTCCCTCACGCCCTGAGCTCCCGCCACAGGAAGTGAAAACATGAGAGGGTGGAGATGGAGCCCAGGTGACAGCCTGAAGGGCTTCTGGGAAATACCTGGGGGCCTCCAGCCCAGCCCAGGCCCTCTTCCCCAGCAAGATGGGCCTGGGCTTCAGGTTTCCCCCTCAGGGCAACGGGTCAGTCCCTAAGTGCCTCAGCTGCCCTCTCCCTGCCAGCTACCCTGGCCCCTCCATTTTTCTAAAGGGCACTGTGCCCACTCAGTCTCGATTTTCCAAGGAAATGGATTTGCAGGATGGAATACCTGTAAAGCCAGCGGGAAATAAAGATGTGCTCAGCCCCAAGAAGTGCGGATGCTGCTTTGTGGGGGGTGGGGGGCAGGGCTCAGAGAGTAGAGCATCCGGGTATTCGCTTCTAGAGGTGGGAGAGGTCCCCGCCATGTCAAGGGCAGAACAGTGCCCGGCACAGACTAGATGCCCAGCAAACATTCACGCAATGAAAGAAGCCAAAGGGGTGGGGACAGCAGGAGTGGCTCAGAATGAGGATGTTTGGTTCAGTGGGGAGGAGGACGAGCTGAGGTCCCGGAGAGGAAGGCAGCTTCTGGGGCTACTCTGGGGTGGGGGGCGGTGTGAGTGAGGTGAAGTGGAGGTGAAATGGCAGGAAGGCTTGCTCCAGCCGGGAAGACACAGATGCAGGAACTAGGAGACCAAGGTAAGGGCGGTGAAGAGCCTGGGCAGGATTCTGCGTACTAACCGGTGTGGACTGCAGAGGGCGCTGCGAATGCTCCGAGAGAGCCGTGTGCGCATGCGTGAGTGGACAAAGGCGGGAGATATGTGAAGAGTCCCAGGAGGCCGCCAGGGGGCGCTGCGGACTTTCTTTCCGATTCTTCCGGKGCGGGGGAGGCGGGTAGTTGGCTGCAGAGGGTAAGGCTTCCGGCCAGGGCTGGGGACTGTGAGTCAGCTGAGATTGAGATGATGAGGTCATTCTGAGAACTGGAGAATGACTGTGTGTGTGTGTGTGTGTGTAAGCTCTTCCGTGGTCCTCATCACAGAACACAGAATTGTGCCTTGGGTCAAGTGTGTATCAGGATGTGGTCAGTCTTGATGCGGATGAGTCATTTCTGCAGATCCTGGCACCCAGCCACACTCAGGCACAAATGCACACACATGTGGACACTCATATGACTTCACGCTCCTCTGTGCCCTCTCACACCACATGCACCAACGTGTGCAATTCTTACTAATTTCCCTAAGTGTCAGTAAGATCTAGTAAAACTGAGAGATGTGGAGACGCCCAGAGACAGCAGGGCCAGACAGACAGACAGGGACAGTTCGGGACAGGTGTGTGCTGGGGGAACTAAGGGCCCCTCCAGACCATTCTCAACTAACTCCTGAGCCTTCCCCACCCTATATTAAACCCCAAACAGTTGGTCTCTGAGATTCCAGCACTGACCTCCTAGACCCAGCTACCCCCACATTCCCTCCTCACAGGGCTCACCTTCTGCCCTTGCCCGCACAACCCCACCCAGCATGCCTGGGGAATAAGGCTGTTTTCTTGAGGAGCTACAAGAAAGAGGGTGAGGCTGGGGCCACAGTAGACCCCTTGCTGTATCTTGTATTAGCTTGTGATTCCTTTTAGGGTTGAAAGGTATGTAGCTGGGATTATGAGTGAAGACCCTGGGGAGTCTTTGAAGGAGGCCAGAAGAGGAAAAGGCAGGGGGAGAGGGGGCAGGATGTGTCCTTTTTTTCTTTCTTTTGTGGTTCTAGGGATAAACCTAGGCTCCCTCTACTCCACCACTGAACTTTACTTATTTTGAGACAGGATCTCACCAAGTTACCCAGGCTGGGCTCAAATTTGTGACCCTCTTGCCTTAGCCTCCAGAGTGGTTGGAATTATAGGCATGTCACTGAGCCTGACTGTCCTTAGGGTCTTAGGGGAGGTTCTCCCTCTGGGAGCATAGAGGCTTTGGGACCTGGTCCCATCTAGGCAGGGTCCCGGTCTTCCCTGACCCTCTGGTCAGGAGAGCTCAGAGATAGATGGAGGGTTGGAACTAGAATCCTACCCCCCCACCTTCCCCACACCTGCTTGCTGCTCTGGCCTGGCCGGAAACGGAAGCCTGGCTTTGTTGGGCTTCCTGGGGAAAGGGGAGCTGGCCTGGGGATGACTCAGCAGAGCTGCCTGTGCAGAATCCCAGCCGTCCAGCGTGTGTCTCCTGTCCCTGAGGAAAGGTCCTGGCCCCTCTGGGGTGTTGGAGCAAGGGCCACACCTGGGGTTGCCTCTGCACAGCACCCACCCCACCCCACCCCACCCCACCCCGCCCCAAGGCCCTAGATAGTGGTTCCCTTGTAGGGTCAAAGGAGGCAAGGCACCGAAAACAGCAGGAGACAGTTTTGTTTGGCTGCAGCCAGGTGCAGAGGGCACAGCTTCTGCTGTAATCCATCAATCCCCTGAACCCCGAGTTCAGGGAGTTTCAGAGTTTTATACCCAGTATGTAAGGGGAGGGCTCAGAAGTTCACAGTCTGCAGAAGTTCACATAAAAGCAGCTTTTTCTTTCACTGTTCTGGGCAAGTTAACTCTTCAAGGACAGCACCTGAGAAGGGGAGAGCTTCTTCTCCCCTTTCTTTCCTCCCCTGCCAGCTGTTACCATGGAGCCCAGTTGTAACTTATCTTAAAAATGTAGACATCTCTGTGAAGCCCAGCTCAAGGCCAGAGGCCTTGTTTGCACATTTCTACAAACTACTATACTGGATACGTTTGTGAAAAGCTAGTAAGGGGTGTCCAGCACCTGGAGTGCTGGTATCTTCTCCGCCAGTGGCCAAGTAAACAGGGCGATAGGAAAATAGGAAGTTTATCTACATTGGACTCTTTCTCAGAGACTTTGGCTGACAGTCCTAACTCTTTTAATGACAGTCCGTGGCTGATCAGCCATGGTGAAGAGGGCTTTTCGGTGGAGAAAGGGGGTGCCCCTTCAGTTCAGCTCTACCCCCCTCCCACTGTCTAAGATGGGGCCCACCCTGTTCCTTGGGGATGAGGAGGGTCAGGGTGTCTGAGTGTCGGTGGAAAGACTCAGACTGGGTGGAAGCATTGCCCCAGGCCTGAGCCGGGAGAGGGCCCTCCGGAAGTCCCCATCCACAGGTCCTGCTTCCCCAGGCAGCTCTGACCCACACCCACCTCCCCATTCCTCCCTCACACCGCAGCCCTGACCTCATTGGGGCCTTTGTCCCAGTGCTGAGACCCCTGTCTGTGGGCTTGTCTCCTGCACAGTAAATGAAAGGACCCCATTGTCCTGGCTGCCGGCTGTGACACAGCAGCTCCCGAAGACTTCCAGAAATGCTCAGCCCTCAGACCCCGGTGGGCGGGAGGACTTTCCTGGGGTGGGGGTTGCCCTTAGATCCCTGCCCAGGGTGAGGACCCAGGTGCCTTTTCTCCCAGCGATGCACAGTTCCTTCCTTCCCCTATTGAAGGTTCTTCCTGAGGTCTCACTTCTATTCCGCCTGCTGCAAAGCTGCCTACATGCTTCTGGAAGAGAGAACTGAAAGATGGGTCTACAGAGCATTAAGAAAAGATTGAGCCAGGGGCTGAGGATGTGGCTCAAGCAGTAGCGCGCTCACCTGGCATGCGTGCGGCCTGTGTTTGATCCTCAACACCACATACAAACAAAGATGTTGTGTCCGCCGAAAACTAAAAAATAAATATTAATATTCTCTCTCTCTCTCTCTCTCTCTCTCTCTCTCTCTCTCTCTCTCTCTTTAAAAAAAATAAAAATAAAAAGATTGAGCCAGGCATGGGGACACAAGCCTGTAATCCCAGCAGCTCGGGAGGCTGAGGCAGGAGGATCAAGAGTCAAAGCCAGCCTCAGCAAAAGTGTTGTGCTAATGCAACACAGTGAGACCCTATATCTCAATAAAATACAAAATAGGGTTCAATCCCAAATGCAAACAAATAAATAAATGGGAAGAAGAGGAGGAGAAACAAGCTGTGTTGAGAGGGAAGGAGGATGCATGTAAAACTGTCCCCGCTAGAAGACTCTGGACTCAGTTCGTTGTCCGGTGGGTGGACCTGTGGCTTCTTGTGTTTATAGCCAATGCATCCTCCTTGCTGTTTAGATGAACTGTGGACAGAAGGAGAGCTGTTGACCACACACACACACACACAGGGGACTGAACTCGGGACCCTTGACCACTGGGCCACATCCCAGCCCTATTTTGTATTTATTTAGAGACAGGGTCTCCCTGAGTTGCTTAGCGCCTCACTGTTGCTAAGGCTGGCTCTGAACTCGAGATCCTCCTGTCCAGCCTCCTGAGCCACTGGGATTACAGGCAGGTGCCACCAAGCCGGGCACTTTGCACTCATATTTAAGGGGGGCCACGCACAATCCCTCGCCCATGTTCTATAGACCCTAAGCAGCATCTCGGGACTCCTGTATCATTGGCAAGGGACATCTTGCTGCGCCTCAGTTTCCCCAGCAAAGTGAGCTGAAGTTCACTCTGACATAATTTCCTGGCGAAGGAGGCCACTGGAACCACAGGGAATCCTGAAGAGCCAAGGGCTCAGGAGGGGGGAGGGGGAGAGTGAGTCAAGACAGAGGCTATGCCAGGTGCCTGGCGCACACCTGTGAGCCCAGCCGCTCAGGAGGCTGAGGCAGGAGGATGGCGAGTTCAAAGCCAGCCTCAGCAGTTTTCGAGGCCCTACGCAACTCAGTGAAACCCTATTTCTAAATAAAGTACAAAATAGAGCTGGGGATGAGGCTCAGTGGTTAAGCGCCCCTGGGTTCCAAATTATGTCAGAGTGAACTTCAGCTCACTTTGCTGGGGAAACTGAGGCGCAGTGAGATGTCCCTGGCCGATGATCCAAGGAGTCCCGAGGTGCTGCGTAGGGTCTATGGAACATGGGCAAGGGACTGCAGGGTGCCCCCTTTTAGAAAAGACAGAAGGTGGGTGAGAACAGGTGGAGAGCTGGATTCCCGAGAGTCCTGTGAGATTGACAGCTGGGGGTGTCTGACTTTAGTGGGGAGGACAGAGTCCTGGAGGACGCAGGAGGGCCCAGAGCCAAACAAAGTGTCCCAGCCACCCTTGCAGGGGCCCAGGGGCCGACTGTGAGCAGCTGAGCCACAGCTGCCGGGAGGGGGTTCCTCGACAGAGGCCCCTGGCACCTGCCTGGGTCTATTTCTGGAGCCACAGCTGAGTCGGGGGAGGGGAGTCTGGCTGGAAGAGGAAGAGGCTGGGGATGGGGAAAAGGCTTCAGGACTTGGGATTCAGGGCCTGGGTCATCCCTCAGAGCAGATCGCCAAGAACGGGGGTTAGATACAGCAGGTCGTCTACACAGGAGTCCCCGGGATGGC